TTTCTTTTAATTATAATATTTAATGCTAATCATGTAAGCATATGATATGATAATGTAAATATTAAATTAAACCTCACATAAACTCATGGGTTATAACTTTGCTGCACACACATTCACCTAAACACCTATACACACATCCATGTCTAGGCACACACATGTTAATGTTCATACATGCACAAACACACACATATTCACTTACACAGTAACACACACACACACACACACTTAAAGATTAACACAGTAACATACACATAAACACACACTTACACACTTACACATAAACACTTATACAAATACATACATATTCACTTACACAGTAACACACACACACACACTTATAGATTAACACAGTAACATACACATAAACACTTATACAAATACAGTAAGACACACACTAAAACACACACAAACACTTACACACATACATTTACACACACTAAAGCATACACATACATTAACACACACATAAACACTTATTCACATATATGAACACACACACACTAAAATATCAGCACACACAGACACTTTAACGTACACACATGCACGATCACATTGAAACACATTAACAATCCTGCACTTTAACACTCTATAACTTTCACATAAACATATTAACATAAACATTGCACTAAGTATTACACTACACATGCATGTCACACTTCCCTCTCCTCCTCTCCCTTTTTTTTATGACCAGGTAAGGGTATTCAGTTAAGGTTTAAGTGGGTTAGGGTTTCAGGTTAGGCTAATGGGGGTTAAGTTGTTTTGGGTCACCTAAGGCTTAATTTGGGTTGCTAACAAGTTAAATAGTTTAGTTAAGCAGGTTTGGGTCACCTAGGGCTCAAGTTTGAGTGGATTGGGTCATGATGGTTTCTTACATGGATTGGGTTAGGTAAAGCTCAGGTTTAAATATATTAGCTCATGTAGTGCTTGGGCTTGAATGGATTGGGCTAAGTATACTAGTGAGTGAATTATTGTATTTAATGAATGTTAGTGTTTGTGTTCTTGGGTTAAGTAGTGTGTTAGTATGACTATTACTATGGTGTTATGTTTGATAGGTTAATGAGTGCCTTGGTTTGGGTAGAATTGTGATGGCTTGTGTGATTTTTGATAGCTTAGTGTGTACATTAGGTTAATGAGTAATTGGTGAGTAAGGGATGATTTCAGGTAGGGATAGTAGTGGAATGAGGGATTTTAGTGGGTGGATTTTTAGGTAGATGAGTGTTTAAAGGGTTTAGGTTTCTGTTAAATGGTGAAATGAGGGGAGGAGTATAGGATTTGAAAAGATGAGGGAATAATGATTTTTGCTTTCAATGATTTTGGTTCGTGATGAAAAGAGAAAAGGAGAGGAAGAAGAAAATTTAACCATGATAAGAAAAAAAGAAAACAAAGAAAGACAAACACAAATACATAATACAAATTAATGACAATCCAATGATCTACATCATGAAAGAAATAAGTTGAAAATGAAATGTGTAAAAGATTATAGCTTTCTTGTGGATGCATTAGCTTTTTTTCTTCTTTGATCTCCTTCTTCCTTGCTTGTTCTTCCTTAGTGTAGTTAAAAAATACAGAGTAGAGAGAGAGTGTAATTGGGAGAGAAGAGGAGAGAATGGGTTCCATTTGGGAGGAGAGGAGGAGGGGAGAGGGAGGAGAGTAGGGTTCAGGTGAGAGATGAGGAGAGGATGGAATGAGAGGTGGAAAGTGGAGGCGCACGATTTAGAGTGGGAATGGGGAGTTAAGAGAGAGGGAGTTAGTTATAGGATGAGGTGGACTAATGAAAAGGAAGGGGGTGGATTGATAAGGTGGAGGTGCCAGAGGAAGAGAGTTGAGAAAAGGTATGAAGGGTTGGATTTAAGAGGATATGCAGAAAATTTTAGAAAAAGGGATGGGTATTTTAGTAATTTGCAAGGTAATTAGAATAGTTATGGAAAAATACAAATATAATTGATTTAGAAGAGGAGAACATAATGAATTCAATGACCTGAATTATTTTGCAAAAGGTAGTGTTTGACTTAAGTTGTGGCCAATTAAAGTACTAGGATGATTACAAAATGGTTATAATGTAGTTATGGTCAAAATTTTGACTTAGTCTCATTTGGTAGACAAAAATACAAGTAAATTGTTAGAGCAAGTTTTTTTTGATAAAAAAGATCTATGTCAAGATATTTCAAAGCAAAGTTGACAGAAACCTTAGGAGAGATAAAGATGGTGAATTTTGAGTTAGTGTTTTTAATTGACTTTATTGGAACAAATTATGTATTTTTTAATTTAGATGAACTTTTATTGAAGTTTGTTTTGATTTTGAGTTCATTTTGGGTCATTTATAAGCAATTTTTTTTATTATCGAAATTATTATTTCTCTCTCCTAATTATCATGGGCTCAATAGGCCTCCAAATAGAGTTAGATTTAGGTGTGGATGGGCTCATCTAAAAGATTTTGATAATATGTATGTAATAAGAAAAGTTTGTTTTAAGAAATAATAACTTTTAAAAAAGTGTTATGTGGGACCATTTTTTTGTATGAAAATCCTAAGTGCAAAATTTTACGTAAAAATGGTGTTTGGTGATCACCAAATTAGCTTGTATGCTTCTCATATGTGATTATAAAAATTATAAAACTTATGAAATGTAATTTAGATCACTGGATTGACCTATGGAGAAAATAACAATTCCAAGTTTAGTGAGAAATTGAACTGAAGAATTGTATGTTAAAAATTATTTCAAATGATCATCAAACTTATTTGCATGATCTATATATTCGACAATAAGTATTATGCAACTTTCGAAATGAAGTTTTGAAAGAAAATAATAATTTTTGGGTTTTATATTTATTAAAACTTATTTTAAGCCAACTTTAATTACTAAAATTAGTTAAATTTAGAGTTTATTTGGTTAATTTTAATTTTTTAAGTTAAATTTTGGTTTTATTAAATACGATTCAACTCAAATGAATTTTAGTTAAAACTTATGCAAGGAATATGATTACTAAAAATGAGGTCAGCACTTCCTTTTGATAAGCTCAAACTCCTATTTTCTTTTACAGACAATAGAGGCTAACTATGTTGATTAACTTTTTTAATCATTCTACAAAAAATTGTTAATGTTATGTATGGGATCTATGGCTTTTGTTCTTTTATGAGCTACAAGCTTGCAAGTTGAATATTTTTCATTGTGTTTAGATGTGGCATGCTCCCAGGTCCTTTTTGGAAAAAATAACATCTCGATTTAAAACTCATCAATTTATTTGCAACATCAACCTTATACAAGGAGGACTGCACTGAGAGAAAAAGTGAAGCACAACATAGATGTAATCAAAGAGAACATGTACTCAAGAGAGAGCCTTGGTGGTTATAATAATAATTAATAAAAAATATTAGAGGACTACTATTGAGGACACCCAAAAATTGAACATGCTCAGCAAAATCATCTACTCATGATAATTTTGGCATTATATAAAGAAATTTGAAGAAATACAAATAGGCAAATAATAAGTAAAACAACTAATGACTATGAGGTAGCTTTAGTTTAAGATATGGGGCTAGAATTTTATTTTATATTCTTTTGATCTTATTCTCTTATATAGTTTTAACTTTTCTAAACCTAAGACTAGCAATTACATCCAATTCAATACAATTCACCATCCTATTGACATTGACTGGGCTATAAAAAATATTAATTTACATAAGGTTGAGATAAACCATTTCTATTTTTCATTTTATTATGCCTATAGCTTTTATTGGATGTTTAAATTTTATTACTGTAATTTTGGGTATTTTTGGCATTGGTTGGAGGGACCTAACCAAATCTTTTTAAATTAGAAGGTCAAGTCTAGCTCTAGCATGCTCAATACAATTTATATGATGAAATATTGTACTTTTATTATGATTATGATTCCTTCCCTGTAATATAAGCCCCAGCTCCTTATTCCTCTTACACATGATAGGAAGCTAACTGTTGACTAGCTCCACTAAGCATTCTACCGTGGATGCCAATGTTTTGAATGTGATCTATGGCCTTTGTCTTTTTTTTTTTTTTTTGGGTGCAAGCTGAAATATTTATTTGTGTTAAGATAAGGCATGTTTCCAAGTCCTTTTTTATGAAAATATCAACCTTATACAAGGAGGACTGCACTAAGAGAAAAAATGAAGCACCGAAAGTTGTAACAAAAGAGATCGTATACTCAAGAGTGGGTCCTAGTTGAGGACAACGATTGAGGGCACCCAAATACATGTCCAGCAAAATCATCCCTTCATGGCAACTTTGACCTTATATAAGAAAATTTTAAGAAAGAAAAAGGCAAACAAAAAGTAAAACAACTAAAAATTATGATGTAGCCACATCATTCTCCCAAAAGTAGAGAAAATTAAACTTAAAAATAGAAGATGCTTGATCATCATCATTCACAACATCTAGAAAGAGGTAGTTGTTCAATATTGAAGACATCTAATGTATACATATCATAAAAAAGTTGTAAGTGATATGCATTCAAATCAATATTGTCATTGATTTTAACCAATCAAACATTGTGATTAGTACGATTAAGATTTATCTGCAAAACTTTTGTAAATGGCGACAACTAGTATAAGATTTTAAAACATCTTAATGGTAAGATATACTAATTTAAAGGCAGATAAAAGAATACAAGTAAAGTAAATGTTTTTAAATTTCTTTCCCAATGCAAATCAATACAAGTCCTTCAAGAAAATATTAATCATGTCTCCAAACAAGAAAATACATTTTTATATGCATATAAATAATCACTAATGACAAGTTCAGCAAAAAGTTTGCTCATAAAATGAAATTTCAATTACAATTATTACAATATGCAAGGTTGCTAAAACAATGATTTAACCCCAATCTCCATCAAATATAAAAACCATGAGTAGACTCATCTCAAATGAAAGCCATCATGAGCTCCATTTGAATTATTCCAAAAAAAATGTTATGAATTTCGATCGACTTCCTTTCTGTTAAAGTTCAAGTGACATCTTGTGTAGAATTCTTCAGGTGAAGTTATAGTCATATGACCTTCTCCTAGTATAGTTGCTTGAACACCCTTGAGAAGAGCATAATGAAATCATCTTTATCAAATCCATATCTTTCTTGCATCCTAAATCCACCATATGTTCTATCAAATCCTCCAATCTCTCTCCATGAAATTCCACAAATTCAGAAGTTACAAGCAGGCCATCCATGAGATACGAAAGGTATAAATCTGAATAGAAGTCTTGATTGCCTCCATTGCTAGAACTTTCATTAACCTCCTTTCCAAATATCTCATGAAATTGAGGAGGAGAAGCAGCCATGAAATCAAACGTCTCTTCCAAGCTCTCATTGAAATAATCTCCACCATTAATGAAATTTAAATCTGAAGTTTCAGCCTTGGTTGTGGTAAGAATTTGTTCTTTTGTGGTTGTGGAGTTATTGAGGAATTCAGTGGTTTTAACGATGTACTCTTGAAGTAGAAAGGTTTTGCCTTTTGTTGTTTTTCGAATCCTGCTCTTTCCTTTTGAGCTCAGCTTTCTTTTGGTAGCATTCCAGTGATTTTTTATGAAATTTTCACTTCTGCCAGGAATTTTTTTCGCTATCTCTGCCCAACTGTTGCCCAACTCCTTGTGTGCTTCGTTCAGCAAATTCCGATTCAGTCCATGTTTCCTTCTAATAGTTATTTAATAAGACATTTTATCATTTTCACATCAGAAGGTAATAAACTTGTGCAAGTGTTGCTACTAAAAGCTATTTATAATATAAAATAGACTTGTGCAAGTGTTGCTACTAAAAAATATATATATATAAATAAATAAATTATTATCAGTGTACCAATCCGATCTATTTGTATAGGGAGGTAAGGAACCCAATGCTTGAATATTAAGAAAGATTCCTTGTAAGAAATAAAACGGAATTAAGCAGACGTAGTGAAATCATTCAAAGATCAAACAAAATTCACCTTGAAGTGTACCAATCCGATCTATTTGTATAGGGAGGTAAGAAACCCAATGCTTGAATATTAAGAAATATTCCTTGCAAGAAATAAAACAGAATTAAACATCAGCAGTGAAAGCATTCAAAGATCAAACAAAATTCACCTTGAAGCCGGGCTGAAGGTGGCTATGCCATCTTTCTCTGCACTGCTTCCCAATGCTACCATACAGCTTTTTTGCAGTCTGCGTCCACTTTTTGACTCCATGCTCTTCCACTAATTTCACCAAAAAACTGCAACAATCACCACATCTCAATACCCAGTAATTGGAGAAATATTACACTCAGAATTGGGTGCGTAAAATAGGCTATTCAAAGGGTACTGGGTGGTTATATCATTGCTATTGAGGGTATAACCTCATAATAACCTACAATTATATAAATTAAACTACAAATATATGAAAACATAACCGCGAAACTTATTTGTAGGTTATTTGGGGGTTATAGTGAGGTTATACCCCCAACAAAACGGATAACGGACACTGCACACAAATTCGCGTGCGGTGCCAATCAGAACCACTAAAATACATCTTTTTATTTATTTTTATTGTTAGAATGATGCCCACTTTAATTTTTTCACATTCTACTAATTGACAAATTTCTTACATAATTCCATGAAAAATAATAAATCATATTATTGTTGTCATTTGGCTGGTGTATGTGTAATGTTTAAATGCACTCATATATATACAAAAGCTAATTATAATTAAGAAACATATTTCAGGAACTAAGCAAAAACACTACTTGTCTTCTTCCACAGTCCATTGCCCTCTCATGGAAGTACGGCTGGTCAGATCAAAATGGTTTGTTGTTCGCGAACAGCTCGTGTTCTGCTCGTTCACAAAGTTAACGAGTCGAACATAAACAAATATTTGTTCGTTCGTGTTATTAGGCTGTCAAAATGGTCTGTTGTTCACGAACAGATCGTGTTCGGCTCATTCACAAAATTAACGAGTTGAACATAAGATAAGAAACAAAGGAAGAGGACGCAGCAAAGAGATGCGTTACATGATTAATTGGAGGGAGTGATTAGCTGAGGTAACTCGGCCGTTAAGTTAGCCTGACGAACGGTTTTACTTCAACAGTTTTTGACTATACGTATTTCATAAAGTTTCTATTTTTAGGCCTTTATTATTAGGGCTGCCAAAATGGCTTGTTGTTCGCGAACAGCTCGAGTTCTGCTCGTTCACAAAATTAACGAGTCGAACATAAACAAATATTTGTTTGTTCGTGTTATTAGGCTGTCAAAATGGTCGGCTGGCAAAATGGTCTGTTGTTCGCAAACAGCTCGTGTTCGGCTCATTCGCAAAATTAACGAGTTGAACATGAACAAGTTTTTAAAGCTCACATTATAAACGAGCCGAACACGAACAAATTTTTGTTCACCTGTATTCGGCTCATTTTAGCTCAAAAAAAATTCGTGTTCAGCTCGTTTTGGCTCGAAATACTACTAATCAAATATATATATATATATATTGATTAGTAGTATTTTAAAAAAATTTAATTGGCTACAATGCTATAAAGATTTATAATCAAATAAAAGTAATAAGTAAGAAAAAAGAATAAAAAATATTAAATTTGATTCAAATGATGTTTTAATATGAACATCTTATTGCTATGTGATTAGGGTTGTCAAAACGACTCTTTGTTGGTGAACGGCTCGAGTTTGGCTCGCTAAGCAAACAAGCCGAACACAAATACACTTTTTTAGCTCTAAATATAATCGAGCCAAACACGAGCTCAGCCTAGGCTCACTCGTGTTCGGCTTTTTTACACCCATATTTATTATCACAACTTAAACCTTAAATGAATTTTCTTTAGTTTTTATGATACTGCTTTTGCACGGAGAAAAATTGTATTAACAATTCATAAAATTTCATCACTAATTAAAGAAAAAAGAAGATTTTAATTTATTATTTTAATGTTTTAATATGTTCAATTCTATTTTAATATTGAAAGTTATACATTATAGGCTAAGAGAATATTGATCCATGAATGACTTTCCATATCATTGATAGAGATTTGTTTATGAAAATGCATGAGTTTTGATTTGAAAATTTTCTCATGTCAATTTAAAATTTTTTATGAAGTAACAAAGTTGAAATTTATTAGTAGAAATTTGATTTTGCTGAAAAAACTCTATTTTGGTGGCATGTTATGTCTGAGGAAATCTTGTGAGCCTATCTTTGTGTAGCCTCAATGTTGTAATTTGTATAATACTTTTCCCTCATGTTTTATTCTAAGTGAGCCATATAGTTAATCAAGATAACAAATAGAACATGAACCCTTCCTCTCTTCCATTCCTAATCAAATTATTAGACATTGTTGAAATAGCTGGATTGTGCATGCCTTTTAATTATCATTATCTTCAAAAAGCTAATTAATATTTGCATTTTTAACAGTACTTTTTAATTGTGTATTTTTTTTTTTCTTGAAGAAATGTTAAATTGGGAGTTTGGTGGCATGGTTTAAGCAAAAACCTGCCCAACAATAAAGATGACTTCTTTAAATCATACAGATTCCTAAATCCCATTTTAGATGATGGTATGTTGTTGGTTCGCGGCAACCTCCTTTCTACATGATGGATTTCCTTTTTATACAGCATTTGTGCTTCCATTTACTTCTACGGTCTTTGCTATTTGTTTTTCTTTATCTTTATCTTATATTTGCTCTCTCTCTCTCTCTCTATGTGTGTGTGTCTATGTATATATATATACATTTTTTTAAAGGAATGACACGAGGATATTATACGAGTCTCCAGCCACTCCTATTGTTCCTAACAATTCGAGTACCAACCTCTTTAAAGCTCACATTGCCACAGGGTAATTTGAACCCCCCGATCTGAGGGGTCTTACACCAAAGATGCCAACCATATATATATATATATATGTATATATATATGAATGTATGTATATGTGTGTGCGCGCGCGCGCATATATCTATATATTTATAAGCTTGTATGTATAAATCTATATATCTATATCTATCTATATGTCTATATAGTATATATCTATATATGTATGTATATATCTTTATGTATGCATGCACAAATATATAT